AGACTTGTACTGGGATTTGATGTGGGCGTAGAATTAGACATTAATAGAATGTACGATATGGTAGAATGCAGTATTTACTTTGAGCCCTACTATCAGGTACTCACAGCACTTAAACAAATGGACGAGCAGCGCTTTCCTCTTAAAGAATACCTAGTTGAAGTGCGTACGGAGTCTGAGTTGCCGGGCTATCTCCCTGCTGGAAGTCATGTTGATTTAGGGCATGAAACTGATTCACTGAATCCCAGCCAGCTCGCTGCTTACGAAGCCGCTATGATGAGCAAGTTTTGCATTGTACAAGGTCCGCCAGGCACTGGCAAGACTTACCTCGCCTTAAAGATGGCGCGTGATTTGTTGGAGCGCAAGAAGAACTGGATGAAGGCGCCAATGCTCGTCATTTGTTACACGAACCATGCGTTGGATCAGTTTCTTGAGGGGCTGCTGCCGTATACGCAGAATTTGGTACGGGTCGGCGGGCAGTGCAAAAACGAAAACTTGAAGAATTTCAACTTGCGCAATTTACGAGTGAAGAATGTACCTGGTGATTACTTCAACGCACAGCGTGCAAGCAAGTTTGAGGTAGCGAATTGCTCGCGCGGGTTGAGCATGTACGGCAGCATCCTACAGGCCATTAACGAATACACGAGCGTGTTACGATTTTCTTCATTTAACCGTTTTGATGTGGATCCGGAATTTGGAGGATCCTGGTTTGCTCGTGCTAAACCAACAGAATTGCTGGAGTGGTTACTGTATCAACCAAACAATGGAAACGAAGTTAAATTTGCTGACTACGAGGCCGTCACACAGGTAGCTAAATAGGTTTTTTACAAGTCCTTTGAATAATATGTGTTTTGAATGTTGAACAGATGATAGAAAAGTTAAACATCGAGGACAATCAAAATGCTAATGTGGAGGATGATGATACCACTGATGACCCCCTGAATGGCCAAATAAAGCAAAACCAATTAGACATTGACCGCGACGAAGACCTTCAAATTCGCTACGATGTCGAACAAAAGGATTTATTCAACGTGCGCAAGGCGGAAGAGAATATGCATGAGTTGGCAAAAGAGATGAATCGGTTAAGCGCAGTTGGTTTGGAGAATACGATTGATTATTTAACAGCTATGCGAAAGATGATCAAGCTGCGCATCGATTATGATTACGTCTGTCAGAAACTGCGGATGCTAAGGCAGCAGGAAGGCGAAGCAACCATTTATGTTGACTACGAGAACCCCACTTATATGCCGGCGAACGACCGTTGGCTACTCTATGGCAACTGGGTGCGCCGCTACAAGAACTTAATAATGGATTTGTACCTTCAAAAAGACGTGGAATATCGTCAGTTGTATGCGAAATTCACCGAGGTCAAGGACATGTTAGATTTGTATAAGCTGAAGAATGTGGACGTTATCGGCATGACCACAACGGGTGCAGCGCGCCTTCATAAGACACTCCAGGCATTGGGCTGTCCAATCGTAATCGTTGAAGAGGCGGCAGAAGTTCTGGAAGCGCATATCACTACCGCACTTAGCCCACAGTGTGAGCATCTAATACTCATTGGTGACCACAAACAGCTCAAACCGTCGACTGCCGACTACACGATCACTAGGGACTACAATCTCGGCGTGAGTCTGTTCGAACGCATGGTGATGAACGGTTTGCACTGCCACACGCTCGATGTACAGCATCGCATGCGTCCTGAGATTGCGAACTTAGTGTGCCCTTCAATCTACAAGGTCTTGCATAATCATGACTCGGTGAAGCTGTATCCGGATGTGCGCGGCATTGACGCGCCACTATACTTTGTCACACACGACCATCGTGAAACAGAATCGCAGGACCGCAGTAAAGAGAATCAGTTCGAGGCAGAGTATCTTATTCTATTGGCACGGTACTTGACGCTAAACAATTATGATGCCTCTAGAATAACTATAATTGCGGCGTACTCAGGCCAGTGGTTTGTTCTGCGTGCTCTCAAAAAGAGATATCATATCTTGCGCGACATGCGTATTTGCATTCTGGACAATTTCCAGGGCGAAGAAAATGACATTATTTTGCTCTCTCTAGTGCGGAATAATGAAGCAGGAAAGAACGGTTTCCTGAACTTGGAGAATCGCATATGTGTCGCCTTATCCAGAGCCAAGCACGGAATGTACATTCTAGGCAATATGCCGCAACTGTGCAACGGCAGTCCGGTAAATTTGTTATTGGAATCTTTTATGACGCTCTTTTTCTTTACATTTTTTTATTGTAGATTTGGCGCGAAGTGTCTACTGTTTTGGAAAAATACGACGCTCTTGGTCCATATCTCACGGTGCGTTGTGTAAACCATCCAGATAACGTTACTCACCTTCGCGACACAGCCGACTTCGATAAGGTGCCCGAAGGAGGATGTCTCAAGATCTGTGCCAAGGGCTTGGCGTGTGGTCACAAGTGCGCAAAGTTGTGTCACAGCACCTCACACGATACCTACAAATGCCATCAGCCATGCACAAAGTAAGTTTCTGTGGTGCTCAATTGAAATTCTTGTTTTTAATATCTGTTTTGTCAGAGTGCTGTGCGAATTCGGGCACATCTGCCCTGACAAATGCTTTGTGGAATGCGATAAATGCAAAGTGCCCAAATTCAGCGCGCTGCCGTGCGGGCACAGTAGGGACATACCCTGTTATCAGTTGCCTGAGGAAGTACTGTGTGATGTTAAGGTACCAACTACGCTGCCGTGCGGTCATCAAGCCGAAAAGCCCTGCCACGCAGACCCGATATCGTTTAGGTGCCCACATCCCTGCGAAGCGCGCGTAGAGCCTTGCGGACACTCCTGCTCGATGTTGTGTCATGTTCGCAAAGATCCCAATCACGAAAAGTATATGTGTCGCAAACAGTGCGTCAATTCAAACAATGGTTGCACCATGCCAGATGAATTCAAGCATCCCTGTCAGAAGCGCTGCTTTGAGACCTGCGATGTATGTTGTGTGGAGGTCAAGAAGAGACGCAGTTGCGATCACTACTATGATGTGCCATGTCATGCTGACGTTGAGGATGTTCAGTGCAAGCGCCCTTGCAAACGTAAGTTGCTTTGCGAGCACAACTGTACGAATATCTGCAAAGACCCATGTGGACCCTGTAAAGTTAAAGTGAGTAACCTAAATGAATTTGTGTCCAAATAACGCTTGGAATCTACAAATTTGCTTTGTAGGTACCCAAAATTATATCCGAATGCGGACATACCATTCAATGGGAATGTGGCAAACAGCCTGACAAATCTAACTGCAAGAATAAAGCGTGCCCGGCGATACTTGACTGTGGACATCCTTGCCCACTACCTTGCAAGCAGAAGTGTTCCACTGCAGTATGCAAGATTCTTGTGCCAGTGATGTTGAATGCTCCATGTGGCCATGTTCCCAAGGTGCCTTGCTATATGCGCTCGGAGACAGTCATCACCAATGAACTTCTCTCTTTCTGCACTGCCAAATGCAGTGCTGTGCTGGAGTGTGCGCATACTTGTCCAGGCACATGTGGACAATGCGCTCAAGGGCGCTTCCACGTTGCTTGCGCCGAGAAATGCGACAAGACACTCATCTGCGGTCATGGCTGTGTTACACCCTGCGTAGAGAATTGCAAACCGTGCACGCTCCCTTGTCAGTATAAATGCGAACATAGTGGATGCACGAAACAGTGCGGTGTCCCGTGTACGCCTTGTTCCGAACAGTGTAATAGAAATTGTCCTCATCAAAGGTGTTCGAGAACATGCGGCGAAATTTGCGACGTGCAGCCGTGCAAGGAGCCATGCCCCAAACTTTTAGATTGTTTACATGAATGTATCGGATTCTGCGGCGATGTCTGCCCACCACTGTGTCGTATTTGCGATAAAAATGAAGTGACTGAGGTATTCTTTGGAACTGAAGACGAAGAAGATGCTAGGTTTGTATACCTCGCGCACTGTAATCATACGCTGGAAAGCTCCGGATTGGATCGGTGCTTTGGAGCAGACGAAGATAACGATGTGCAGGAGGTGAAGATTCCTCGTTGTCCGAAATGCACTGCTAACGTGCAGGTGCCGCGTTATCGCGATTATATTAAGGCTGCTCACAAGAATGTGGAACAAATCAAACAGCGCTACTTCGGCGGGCATCCCAGGGAACTCACAGAACTTAACAGAGCGTTGAAGAAAGATATTCAAGACGCAAAGAAAGTTTACGGTAAGCTGCTAAAATATTATTGTTATCATGTGATTCATGGCTTGGTATTTGACAATTTCAGGTGAACATGTCTGTACAAAAGTGTTGGAATTCTTTGAAGATAAAATAAAATTACCAACAAGAAGAATCAACGCCAGGACCACTCTAAATCCAATTTGATATCTTTACGTGCACGCGTGAAAATCTTTTTAGAGCTGGCAACTATTCGTTACGGCGTCACAATGCCTAATTATATACCTTTGAGTAGTCCGAAGGTGAAACAACTCGTTGATGATTACCTCTCTTTTTTGTTCGGCAAACTCATTTCGCCGGATGTCTCCATCAACCAATATCAGATTCAAGAGTTCCAAATCGAAGTTTTGCGCTTTAATCGGATCATGAATCTTGCGCGAGCCATGATAATGAATCCAGCAGTTGAAAAGTTGAAGGAATATGAGCCTTGCTACCGCCTGATATTCACATTTGAAATGTACGATGCGACACAGGACACTCTTGTGAAAAGCGCTTTAGAAGCGTTGAATAAAGCGGCTAACAACGGATTGGCGATCACAGAAATTGAACGAAGGGAGATTGTCGCTGCGATTGGTTTATCTCCTGGACATTGGTTTAAGTGTGCGAAAGGGCACATTTACGCGATTGGTGAGTGTGGTGGTGCAATGGAGGAGGCAAAATGCCCCGAATGTGGTCTAACTATCGGCGGCACAAGTCATACGCTCACTTCCGGCAATACTTTGGCGTCTGAAATGGACGGCGCGAGGCGGCCTGCTTATCCGACAATTAATAATATGGCAATGTATAGATTATAATTGAAAAACAATTGTTTCATTACGAAGAATTTGTTAAACGTTTAAATATATTTCTATCAATATACTATCTTGCAGTACGGATTGATTTTGAGACAAAGGAAATTTAAATTGTGGTTGCGCCACGATGTGACGTCATAATTTATGATCCAGATTACTTTCCATTCAGTACATTATGCAATGCTCTCGTCTTGCAAACACCAAACTTTTCGTATTTGCCAACCATCAGACAAATATTTAACAGACGAATATATTTTGTTAAATAAATGAATGTACTTAAACGAGGTAAATGTCGGGATGGTAAGAGTCGCCTAAATTTCATCACTCAACACGTGTAGATATCATGAACGCTACCGATGTGTTTTATAATGTGCCGGTCACATTTTCGTGGTTCGATTATGGCCTGTTCGTCGCCATGTTGTTGCTAAGCGTACTAATTGGATTATATTTCGGTTGCTGCGGCCACCAAGACAGTATCAATGAGTATTTACTTGGAGGAAAAGAAATGTCGGTGGTACCGATTGCGATTTCGCTAGTCGCCAGGTATATAAAAAAGAACTCACCTTATTTATCAATTTATCATGACCCTTGTTGCTTGACAGTAATATTTCTGGAATTACGCTTCTGGGCGTCCCAACCGATGTCTACCGATTCGGAAGTACGTACTACATGTATGTCAGCATGTTGATTCCAGTTTATGTCATCACATATTACGTATATCTGCCGGTATTCTACAAGTTACAATTGGTTAGCGTATACGAGTATATGATGTTGAGATTTAATAGGAAAATTCGACTTCTCACTTCTGGTTTATCTACTGTGGCAACTCTACTTTACCTGCCGATCGTAGTTTATATTCCAGCCTTAGCTCTAACTCAAGGTAAGTTCGTTACATCTGGCAGTTTCATAAAAGAAATTATATCTCTTGTTGGCGTAGCAACTCAATTTAGCTTGCATCTTGTGACACCCGTTCTATGTGGTGTGTGCATTTTCTACACCACCATCGGAGGACTCAAAGCCGTTGTGTGGACTGATACGTTACAATTTGTTGTAATGATTGGTTCAATTGTGGCGGTGTTTTATAAAGGTTTGGACGCCATTGGAAGTTTTGACGAAATGTGGTCTCGGGCCGCTGCTGGTAGACGATTAGAATTTGAGTAAATATTACAGTATCATATAGAAAACTCTTACTTACATATAACTGAAATATATTTTCAGCTTGGATGTAAATCCCACAAAAAGGGACACTGTGATGGCCACAATGGTAGGTACACTTTTTGGTTGTCTGAGCTACATGAGTATTGGTCAAAGTTTTGTGCAGAAATACCTCTCAATGCCGACTAAAAAAGACGTCAAAAAGTGAGTCAGCATTTTATCTGCTCGAAACGTATATTCTACGTGCTTTCCTTCAACAGGGCTTTATTTTTATTTATGTTTGGAATGTTTGCAATCATTACCTTCGTGGTGTTAACTGGTTTGATTATGTACGCGCACTACTACGAATGTGATCCGTTCACAGCTGGAAAAATCACGAAACACGATCAGATATTACCGTTCTACGTCATGGATGTTGCTTCGACAATACCTGGACTAGCCGGTTTGTTTCTATCTGGCATTTTAGTGCAGCGTTGAGGTAAACAAATAACCAGAGGCGTATTTTTGCGAGTAATCACAATGACCTATTTCAGCACACTATCAGCGTGCATGAACTGCCTCGCTGGATCTGTGTATGAAGATTTTGTAAGTCCGTTCATGCCGAAGGATATCTCACAGAAGCAAGTGTCAAATATTTTAAAATTACTTGTTATGATAATCGGAATTATAAGTACCGCCATGGTTTTTGTTATTGAACATATGGGCAGTATCTTGCCGATCAACTACGCTCTCGGCGGTATTACCAATGGTCCCCTACTGGGACTTTTCACTCTTGGAATGTTATTTCCAGTTGCAAATCACAAGGTCTGCTAACAAATAATAATTAACTGATTTTTGAATGAATTAATCATTTTAACTACATTTAGGGCGCGCTTTATGGTGGATTCGGAGGCATTGCATTTATGTCTTTTATTATAATTGGTAGTCAATACTATCAGGTCATGAACGAGTATGCTGGGAGACCCGTATCTATAGAAGGATGTGGCAACGGCACTATATTATTGCCTAATTTACCAGATTCAAGGTACATTTCAAATCATCTTGATATTTCGTTTGTAATCCAATATTATTATCTTTCAGCGTTGATAAGAGCGACGTCTTTATTCTATTTAGGATAACTCACTACTATTATAGTTTTATGGGTACCCTGGCTACAGTTATAATTGGAGTTGTCGTGTCGTACCTGACACGGAAACCTACCGATCCAAAGGTGGATCCGGATTTGATCAGTCCGTTCAGTTATTGGGTGTCAAGCAAATTTGGACTAGAAAAACCTGAAAAGGGAAATTATTATGAAGTAAACAAAGCGCTAGGAGTGGTAACACATGCAGAAAAACAAACGAATGCAACGTAGACTGTTACAAATAAAATATAAGTACAAACAAAACGTGATATGAACTTGTACAGTTATTTTAAAACCTACGGTTGATATATTTAAAAGCCTGCCATTTATATTTTCTGGTTGTTATCTATCTCAGACACAGGGTACTGAACTAAATCAAACAATTCTTACAATAAGCGTTAGCAAGGACAATGATGAAGATTTACCATTTGTTTGTAGAAGTTTACCGCCTCGCGCTTGCTTCAGTTTTGGCAGTATCATTACGTTAATCATTTAATCCAAAGTACACAAAAGCCCTGTGTAGACTTGTCCCCAGTTGTGTACATAATTATCGTGACAATGCAACAAACTCGCACGAGTACAAAACTGTCGATAGACGACCGCGACGCGTCCAGATTGGTACCCACCGCGTCATTCGACGGATATCTCACTGTGGCTGTTTTTGTTGTCTCTCATCGACTTATAACAATATTGATATAAACGACACGCGCAAGTGTGTCACTGGGAATAAATAGTGTGTTGCAGCGGTAGCCGGTGCAAGAATGAATGCCACCACCATTGCGACCACCATCTTGGAAGAGATGCCACAGTTCACATGGCACGATTATTTGTTCTTCATTATCCTGCTTTTGCTCAGCGCCGCCATCGGTGTATATTTTGGTTTCTTCCAGAAGAAAGAAGACAGTGCAGATGAATACCTTCTTGGCGGAAAAGAAATGGGCGTGTTTGAGATATCCATGTCTCTGATTGCCAGTACAATTTCCGGAATAACAATATTATCAGTGCCATCGGAGATTTACCGGTTTGGCTTCAGTTATTGGCTGAGTATATTCTCAGCAGCTGCAGTTTTGATCTTCTCATACTTGTGCGTGATTCCGGTGTTTACCAAACTGAAAACCCCGAGTACCTATGAATACTTAAATAGTAGATTTGATGAAAGCATTCGTGGTATCTCATCGTTACTGTTTACCATGTCTATGTTTTTGTACCTGCCTATTGTGATTTACATCCCTGCATTGGCCCTAGCGCAAGGGACCGGCTTTTATATACATCATATCACACCTCTTATTTGTGGTGTGTGTATATTTTATACAACAGTTGGTGGGCTCAAGGCAGTAGTCTGGACAGATGCACTACAATTTGTTGTGATGATTGGAGCAACCCTAGTGGTAACTTATGTTGGGACAACTGCATCAGGAGGCATTGGGGCTGTCATGCGTGACGCCCAAGATGGCGGACGCCTTGACTTAGAGTAAGTGTTACTTGAATAAAATCTATTTGTTGATAATGTAGGTTGAATTTTCTTTCAGTTATGATGTAGACCCAACAAAACGTGATACTCTTTGGACGATAATCCTTGGAATGTTTTTCTTATGGAATGGAATTATCACGTTTGGTCAGGGTTGTGTTCAGAAATGTTTAGCACTTCCCAATTCTCGTAAAATCCGCAACGCGTACATTGCGTTCGGCATTGGTATCATCGCGTTTTTCAGCTTCAGCACTTACATTGGTCTAATGATGTACGCCAGGTACAAAACATGCGATCCGTACATGAATAAGAAAATCAACATTTACGACCAGATCTTGCCTTTGTACATACTTGAAGTGACGAGTAACATTCCGGGTCTGCCTGGTGTATTCATTGCGGGTGTATTCAGCGCATCCCTAAGCACACTCTCCGCTGCAATGAACGCATTATCATGCACGCTTTACGAAGACTTTATCTTGGCCCATTTACCCAAAGATATCTCTCAACGAAAAATCAATTTAATTCTTAAAACAATTGTCATAGCAGTCGGAGTTGTCTGCACCGCCTTGGTGTTTGTAGTGCAAAAATTCAAATCAATTCTAGAAATTGGTTTGACGTTTGGCAGTTTTACTCAGGGACCAGCAATTGGCTTATTTGCTTTGGGCATGTTTGTACCTAAAGCCAATACAAAGGGTGCACTAGCAGGAACTATTGGTACTATGCTCATTATGGGTTGGATTATTTTCACGAAATTGTATTACAAGATGTCGGGATACATCACTGACCATCCCAAAGTAGTATCAACCGTGGATTGCATGTATTCGGCAAACACAACATTTCGAGAGTAAGCAATCACCTCACCACATAAAGTAATTAGCCAGTAATTTAATTTCTATGCGTTTTTTTTAGATTTCCACCCGAGCCAACGTGGTCACCTCCATTTATCTATAGAATCACTCATTACTACTACGGCATGATGGGCTGCCTTCTTGTACTTCTCATTGGCATTCCAGTCAGTTACATGACCAGAAGTGGAAAAGAAAACCCGTCTCCAAAGATCTCATCAGTCCGGCAATGCATTGGGCGTTGGATAAAACAGTGCTGCCTGAATACTACAGTGTCGCGAAAGCCAGCCAAATAGTCGTGAACCAAAAATAACCACTTATTCTTGTATTATCTAGATTCCTAGGTATTAGCTTTGTTAACTTTGTACATACACAGATATTTGTGGCAAAATATAAATTATTACGTTTGAAGATAAGACTTACACGTATGCGTATTTACACGTGTTTTCAGTATCATCTTGGCAAATAATCAAAATGACGTCTCACTTAATAAAATTTTACGTTATGAATATTAATTGTGCGTAGAAAAGCCAAGAACAACGAAATTAATGCGTAGAATAGAACATTATACCTTCGGTGAAGACATTGAAAGTTCAATCAATTAAAAATATGTTTTGATGTCATTGATGTAAATAAAACAATTCCACTTGTTCGATCTGGTGTTTACTGCCCGTCTCAATTGTTTACGCGCTATCAGAAAACAATGTCCCCGTTTGATTATTCTGAATGAGCGTCGCGAGATAGCTCAGTTTTTATGGTCTCATTTAGTTTTATATTTGCTTCTTTCCATTTGGATAGCGATTGATTTATATTCAGTAAATTAAACCAGACATTTGTGTACACAGCACTCGCTTTGTTTGTACGACGAAATGTATAGCAAAGAGGCAAACAATTCCAAAACTCGAAACTCCACCAATTATTTGATTGTAATTCGTTCAGCACGATGGTTAATCTGTCCTTGGTGAATACCACCGAAAACAGCGTGACATTAGGCGTTGGTCATGTACTCACTTCCGGAAATGCCAAAGTTAACTTTACTTGGTATGACTATAGTCTCTTCTCATCAATGTTGTTATTCAGCGTCCTGATAGGAATATATTTTGGCTTTATTAAAAAACAAGCCACCGCCAATGATTATCTTCTTGGTGGCCGGACGATGAGGCCTGTCCCAATTGCTATGTCCCTAGTAGCAAGGTAAGTAAAATCTAAACAAAACAAAACTGTAAAAACGAAATCAATACTTGCAGTCAGATATCTGGTGTGGCCCTGTTGTCAATACCTTCAGACGTTTACCAGTTTGGTATCAACTATTGGATAAGTTGTATTTCCGTCGCCCTGACCACCATCATCAATGCATATGTATTCTTACCCGTATTCCACGGGATGCAGATTACCAGCACTTACGAATACTTAAAAGTGCGTTTTAACACCAAGATTCGTGTATTGGCTTCGTTTCTTTTTGGTTTAGGTGTGCTATTGCACCTTCCTCTAGTGATTTACGTACCGGCGCTTGCTCTGGAACAAGGTAGGTCAAGATATTAGCTCTGCTTACTTAAAAATACACGAAACTATAAACTAAATCTCCCACAGTGACGGATATCAATATTCATCTAATAACACCTGTAATATGTGCAATCTGCATATTCTACACAACTATCGGAGGACTTAAAGCTGTGGTGTGGACAGACATGTTACAATTCAGTTTGACAATCGGCGCCATGATTGTTGTCTTCTGTTTGGGACTAGTGTCAGCCGGTGGGTTAGGAAATGTATTCAGGAAGTCAGCAGAAGGTGACCGACTTACCATCGAGTAATAATACTTCATTATTTAAAATAATATAAACAAATATTAACCACTTTTACTATTTTGCAGTTTTGACATTGATCCCACACTCAGAGATTCATTTTGGGTAATTGTAGTCGGATGGTCTTTGAATAACCTGGCCCACATGGCCACATCACAACATTACGTACAAAAATTAATGGCTGTGCCTACTTTAAACGACGCCCGACTGTATATTTAATATTGACTTTGAAAACCGGAAATTTAATGTTAATAAGTAAATATTTTTAGGGCGCTTGCAATGTACATCTTTGGTGCTGTTCTTGTTAAGACTACATGTGTTATAACAGGATTAATCATGTATTCAATGTATGCCGAATGCGATCCGATTACTTCCGGTGTAATCACCAAACCCGACCAAATATTACCGTATTACGTAATGGATGTATCAGCTGGTATTCCAGGTTTGCCTGGTTTATTCATTGCAGGAATATTCTGTGCATCATTAAGGTATAGTTTATTAATACAAATGCACAACAAAATTATTGATTTTGATTAAAATATTTTCAGTACGCTTTCGGCGTCAATGAATTGCGTTTCCGGAACAATCTACGAAGACTTCATTTCGCACTACATGCCAAAGAGTGTAACACAACAGACTGTTAGTAATATTCTAAAATGGCTGGTTACTATCGTCGGGATTGTGTCCATGTTGTTGGTTTATGTTGTTCAACATCTAGGCAACTTGCTTCCGCTTGTGATCAGTTTCACAGGAGTTACTTCAGGACCACTTTTAGGACTATTCACTCTTGGAATGTTATTTCCCAAAGCAAATGCAAAGGTATTATTTGTATATTTGTTCATAATTTTATGTAATAACGTGATTTAAATTAATGTAATTATAGGGTGCAATGGTGGGCACTGTGACTGGTTTAATATGCATATTTGCTTTATTCATTACTGTGCAATATTACAAAGCAATGAAATTGATAACACATACGCCAAAAGCAGCATCAACTGCAGGTTGTACGTTTGATATTCTTCCAAAGAACACCACGTGAGTTAATTTAATGTATTATCATCTAATTACATTGGATTTAATGAATTTTTAAATTTTTGTTTAGTATTTTGCTTGACGTGGATGTACCGGAAGTCCATTTCATTTTCCGCATCTCCTACTATTACTACACCATGATTGGTACAGTTATTGTGCTAGTTGTAGGAAACGTAGTCAGTTTATGGACTCAAGATGATTCGCCACCGGTACATCGTGATCTTTTATCACCAGTCATCAGACCATGGTTACGTGACGATAAACTCGACTATTACTCTGTAAATCGTGCTTTGGACATGGTAACATTCGAGAATCAAGTCAACTCGGACGGAAAAATCACACAAAAGCCAACAGAACCAAATGTAAATTAAAATTTAGTCAAATAAAAATAGAAACTTAAACAAATCAAATTGTTTATATTACCGTTCCTAAATTCATTCATCGTTTTATAAACACTATACTAAAACCTCAGAAAAATCATTCTCGGAACATCTGAACACGTGGAGAAATGATGATTTAGTTTTGTAATGTTTGAGCCCGTAATTGATTTACGATACAACGCCAACAAAGATTGTTTGCCATGGTGGCGTGCAGCGCCTCGAAAAATTTCCATCCTGATATAACAACCGTTGACTAATCAACGCCGTTACAATACAGAATCAGTAAGCAATACGATTCGTACATTTACTGCAGTTAAATGTCCGAAGCAATGGAAAGTTCACAAACAGTTCCGGGTTTTACCTGGCCGGCATCTTCAGCGACAATCCAATCAAAAATTACCTTCACTTGGTATGATTACGCTCTCTTTTCGTCAATGCTGGTATTCAGCGTATTGATTGGAATATGGTTTGGTTTCATCCGGAAACAAAACACCGCCAGTGATTACCTGCTTGGTGGCAGGGCGATGAAACCATTTCCGATTGCTATGTCACTCGTAGCCAGGTATAAACATACTATACTATTTATATTATACAGAGTGTTGTGTTAGCATATATTTAAAGTATACTTTTGTTTATAGTAAAATATCTGGAGTGGCTCTCCTGGCCATACCTGCAGATGTATACAACTTTGGAATTAATTATTCCATTAGTTGTATTTCAGTTTTTTTGACTGCAGTTATCAACGCCTATGTTTACCTGCCTGTTTTTCATAAATTGCAAATGACCAGTACTTATGAATATTTAAAAATGCGCTTTAATGCACAAATCCGTATGTTGGCGTCGTTTCTTTTCACTCTATACGTGTTATTACACTTGCCTGTGGTAATATACGTACCCGCTCTGGCATTGGAACAAGGTATCTATACAAATTTAACTTTTTTTTAACTAAATTCAAAACTATTATTGTTTTCAAGTGACTAATATTAATATACACATGATAACACCTATAATTTGCTCCGTGTGTATTTTCTATACAACAATCGGTGGATTGAAAGCTGTTGTATGGACGGACATGTTACAATTCTGTGTCTCAATCGGCGCCATTATTGCTGTTCTTTATATGGGCTTGATATCCGCTGGTGGAATAGGCAATGTTTTTAATAAAGCAGCGGAAGGAGAACGTTTTCATATTGAGTAAATGATCTAATCTTATTCTTAACAGCAATGCAAAATTAATAACATATTAATTAATATTTAGCTTCAACCGGACCCAACACTACGTGACTCTTTCTGGGTGATTGTTTTGGGATGGTCCTTCAATTCCCTATCAATGTTGGGAGTTTCTCAATCTTGCGTACAGAAATTCCTAGCGTTGCCAACATTAAGCGATGCAAAAAAGTAATGAATACAATTATTAGGTAATGAATTTCTTCATATCACGAATAATTTTGTTTCAGAGCTCTTGCATGGTATGTAGTAGGTGCTGTCACAGTAAAAATCACTTGTATATTAACAGGTCTAATAATGTACGTTAAATATTTCGGGTGTGACCCGTTATTGTCCGGGCAAATCACGAAAGCGGATAAAATCCTACCACATTATGTAATGGATGTATCAGGATCTGTGCCTGGATTACCTGGTTTGTTTATCGCAGGAATCTTTTGCGCTTCTTTAAGTACCCTATCAGCGTCATTGAATTGCCTTGCTGGAACAATCTACGAAGATTTTCTGTCCCAGTACATGTCAAAAGATATCACAGAACAACGAGTTGGATATATTCTTAAAGGTTTGGTGATTGGCATTGGTGTTATATCGGTATTACTGGTACGGGTTGTGGAACACCTTGGGAATCTACTACCGATTATGATTAGCTTCACCGGGGTTGCATCAGGCCCACTTTTGGGTATTTTCACCCTGGGTATTCTATTCCCAAAGGCCAACGCAAAGGTACTATCAGTTTACATTGATTTTAATGGTTTTGTATATATTTTAATGGCAATGTAATTCAAGGGTGCAATGGTGGGTGCCCTCACAGCCCTAGGAATGATTTCAACATTGTTTGTGACCGTGCAATATTACAAAGCACACAAACTGATCACATACACCTCAAAACCGGTTTCAACCGAAACCTGTGACTTTGAGTTTACGCCAGCAAACTCAACTAATATTGATCCTCGTGCACAAGATGATGTTCTATGGCTTTTTAGAATCTCCTTTTATTACTACACTCTTATCGGAGCTAGTATCACATTACTAGTTGGCAATATTGTCAGTGCATTTACCCAGGATGACTCTCCTCCGGTTCATCCTGATCTCTTGTCGCCGATAATCCGTCGGTATCTGCCAGACAAGAAGCAGTATTACACTGTGGACCGCGCTTTGACCATGGTCACATACGATTCCAACAAACAAAAAGCCACAAGTTGAATTGGAGCGCTTATCGCTGGGTCAGCGCAGTAAACAAGATACTCTTAGGCTCGTTTATATATTATTAGTAAAATTTGTAAGACTATTTGAACTTAAATAAAAATACTAAAAATACTATCTGGAACTGAGAACAAACATCACTGATAGCGGCAGTGTGCGTGTGTGTAGGAGCGCAAACAGCAAGTGGAAAGATGTGTAATGTGTAATTTGTAACAAGAAATTTACAAGTCATGATAATTTGCTGCTAGCAGTAGCACTTATCATCCCGCTATGCAAATATAATCAAATTCGAAATTTACAATCAGATTTCGCTTAAATTTCACCAATTTCCCTGAAAACCGCTTAGTACGATTGCGTGAACAATGGAGAACCCAGCCGCCAACATCACGGGTACCGCGCCATTAATTTATTTCCAATGGTACGATCACGCGTTCTTTGGATTTATGCTGTTCTTGAGCACCGCCATTGGGATATATTTTAGCATAACAGGCGCCAATAAGAAGAACATCACAGATGAGTATTTTATGGGCGGTAAGAAAATGTCAGTGATGCCCATCGCCGTCTCCTTGGTAGCAAGGTATTTCTATACTTATTGCGCATGTTTTACGTATTCAATCATGATGCAATTTTCAGTCACATATCAAGTGTAAGTTTAATGGCGGTGCCGGCTGACGTGTATAGTTTTGGTGCAATGTATTGGCTGAGCACTATTTCTATTATGGTCAGTGCATTTGCGACAAGTTATATTTTCCTGCCTGTTTTCTACGAGCTTCAACTAAACAGTACCTATGAATATCTTATGCTGCGGTTTAATTCGTCCATACGAACCATGTGCTCACTGTTTTTTATTCTTAATATTCTTCTGTTTATGGGGATTGTGGTTTATGTTCCGGCTCTAGCGTATTCAAAAGGTAAGACGTTTAAACTAAAATATTGTTAAAAATAAAGTGAATATTTAATTTTTAGCCACTGGATTGAGTGTCCATTATATTATTCCGGCAATTTGTGCAATTTGCACGTTTTACACTACGATTGGAGGGTTGAAAACCGTTGTATGGACTGACACACTGCAGTTTTCCGTGACATCAACCGCGGTTGTAGTAATTTTTTATTTGGGTGTGACTAAAGCTGGAGGATTCACTAATGTATTCCAGACTGCATGGGAAGGAAGTCGTTTACATTTTGAGTGAGTAAATATTTTCAAACCTGAACTAGTAATATTAATGATTGACTTCGTAGTTTTGACTTAGATCTAACAAAACGGGAAACTGTCTTTGCTGTGCTGATGCATTGGTTTCTTTCATACACAAGAATGTTGTCAACAAGTCAAGAGTGTGTGCTAAAGTTTTTGTCCTTGCCGACATTAAAAAAGGCCCAACAGTTAGTAACAACCATCACATCAATCAAAATTATTTCTTATAGTTTATTAATACTTCCAGATCGATATTCCTTTTCTGTTTTGGCATTATTTGCGTGAAGAGTATCATTGTTATCACTGGTTTGATAATGTTTACGTTATACAAAGACTGTGACCCGTTGATGTCGGGCTCCATTTCAAAAATTGATCAATTAGTACCATTTTATGTTGCTGATGTAGCATCTAAAGTGCCTGGACTGACTGGATTGTTTTTATCGGGAGTTTTCTGCACCGCACTGAGGTTTGATCAAAATTAGTTAATTTTATTGTTATTTTTGTTAATTGTTTATTGTTATTTTTAATATTTTAGCACGTTATCGGCCATTATGAATGCGCTCTCAGCTACGATCTACCAAGACTTTGTTGCAAAGTTTCTGCCCAAGTTTGCAAAGCAAGAACAGTATACTTCAATTACGATAAAACTTCTCGTTGTCGTAATGGGCGTGCTAATTACATTCCTCGCTTCGCTTGTTGGATATCTTGGACCAATCCAACCGCTTGCTATCAGTGTTGCTAGTATATCAGCGGGAAGTTTCTTTGGGTTATTCACCCTTGGTGTACTGGTCCCCAGAGCCAATACAAAAGTAAGTGTTTTAATTTTAGTTTAATTTTGAAGATTGTAAAATAATATTCGATATCCTAGGGTGCATTTTCTGGAGTAATAATTTCTACTCTATTCGTCGGCTGGATGTTCGTAGGGGCGCAATGGTACCGATCCAAAGATATGATCAAAAATATACCCACACATTTAAGCACAGAGCAGTGCACGTTTGAAGTGCCTGTTGTTGAAAACAATTCAACAATTTTAGATGCGCCAACAGATATTTTCTTTCTATATCGAGTCGCCAGTTATTACTATGCTTTGACTGGTTGTGTTGTGTGTATTGCGGTTGGTATTGTTGTTTCTTTACTAACTGATCATGGGGGACATGTTGACAAGAGATTACTGTCGCCGTTGGTGCACCGATGGCTTCCGGAGGATGCCGGAAAAGATGATTATTTTTCAATTGATAAGGCAAATAGAATCGTGACTTCGCTTGATTTACAAAATTTACAGGACGCAAACAAAAATGTATCAAAAGTATAAATTATAACAACTGGCAGAAATATAATATGGTTTTACACAATCTTTCTGTAGCATGAGAATGGAGCAGAAATTCCTCTTCCTTCCTTTGAATTTGTGTGGGTCAGTCGTGTGAGGGAGGCACCGTTAGAGAGTGTTCTTTCTTGAAATCACCAAAATGTTCCTAGTTTATATAGAATATCAAGCAACAGTTACTAGGTAACAGTATTTTCTGACTTTTAATACTGTGCCCCTTGCTTTTACCAATTAATAAACGTCAAACCTACTCAACATAGAAAGAAATTGTGATGACTTCATCCACTTATAAATTAACCTACTTCACTGTAATGGCCCTTGGAGAGCCCATCAGATGGTTATTGAGCTATGGAGGCCTACAGTTTCAGGACATTCGATTATGCCATGAAGAATGGGAAGCACAGAAAAACAGTAACAAGTCTATCATAGGCTCTTAAAGCTTAGAATTACTATAATCTATTATAGAATCCCCTTTTGGGGCATTACCCCTTCTCGAAATTGATGGAAAAGTAATGCATCAGAGCGTTGCAATTTGCCGCTATCTTGGAGCAGTTGTGGGCCTATCCGGAAAGAACGCATGGGAAAACTTTGAGATCGATATAGTAGTTGATTCTATTTCTGACTTACGCACAAGTATAATCTATAAAAAGATCCAAAACATGATTACTTATTAATAGATGCTAAACTTTACAGAAATTGCAACTTATAATAAGTTACCAAACAGCTCGCAAACACGTGCACAGCTTAGACTTGCATTGTTGAACGAAACTATACCGTTTTACTTAAACCGCTTTGAAAAAATGGCGTCGGAGGGTTACGTAGCCAATGGCAAAGTAAGTTAGGCTAGGTTATAAGGGCTTTCAACCACACAACAATCTTCGGCTCTGGGATCTCAACCCATGAGAGACCAACTGATAAACAATCAAAATGTTAACCAATTGAATTACCAAGCCGTTGATGAACTTGTGAAAAATTATAGAACTAATCTCCTATTTCCAGTTGTCGTGAGCTGATATATTTTTTGTGGCGATACTAGATTACAACAATGGGGTATTGAAAGAAGATATAATCAATGCCGAGAAATACCCCACTTGGACAACCTAAGAAAGAAAATTCGGTCGATGCCAGCAATCGCGACTTGGATCGGCAAAAGACCCGAATCAGAATATTAAAACTGATTATAATTACAAGTAGAAGTGCATTTATTGAAAAATATATAGTACGTTTAGCGTTTTTTCAAACGTTTTGATTTATTCGAAGCTGTAGTTTAGCACCATCCCTTGGGACGCTCCTCAATCCACTTCTTGATCTGTGGAATGGCGAGGACAGTATCGCGTACCTTTTGCAAGTTGCTGTATTTCTCCAAAAGGTCACCCTCAATCATGAAGTTGATGTAATCCAATATAGAAGTCAGATAGATGTCGGCCCAGGTAAGCTAAACAAGAAAACAAGTCAGAAAACTACCAAACTAAAAGAATTTGTTTCCTGTGGTACCCTGTTCACGGCAAGATGTCCACCGTTTTCCTTGGCAATCTTATCGATACGTTCCAAGTAGTATGGGATGGTCTCCTCGAAGAGAGGAGCCTTGCGCGATGCCTTGATGGCTTCATCCTTCTCGTAGCTGTACAGAGCAATTTCTGACGGAAAAAATAAATATAAGCAATCCTTATTCATTATTTTTTAAATTTAGGAACGTACTAAGCCTCAAATCGTTGATGGTTTCAACGATGCTCTCAATTTCGAGATCCTCCAGATCATCCTTGCCGACAAGCTTAGCCTGCTTGGCGCAATAACGTGCCATAGCAAGACTTTGATGGTATTGCTTGCCGTTGATTACCAAAATCGGCATTTGTCCGAAAGGCATCTCTGCGAAAACAATAACAAAGTGTAAATGAAACAAATTCACAAACTATTGAAAAATCAATCAACAAAAAAATACTATTCGCTATTAAATTCAAAGGTAAACACTGTAAAATGATTAATTAATGAAGTTCAATTGACTATAACTTTTTACGTACTAATCTAACACATAAAGGCAAGGTTCAATTAAAAGTTCATTGAAATTGAAAATTTAATTGAAAACTGCTCACAATTTTCCGATAATTAATTCATTAAAACGAAATAAGAAACTACCCGAATAAGCATTAATGAATATTAATTCTCACCAACTTACTTGCTTTGTGGTTTGGCCAGTCGTCAGTCTCGATACGCTCATCTTCAAAGTCGATGTTAGCGTACTTCAGCAACATGCGGCACGACTCGCCCAATGCCGTCACATTGAAGTAGATGATTTTGTATGTAGGAGCCATGGCTGATTCTGAAACAAACGGAGCGCAGGCACGCGTTATAATACAAATACGAAAATCACAAATGGCGGCCACCGTCGAGCGCGAAAAGATTGATTGCTTTGCGATTGCGATGAATCGCATAACAGTCCTCTAGATGCGAACCGTCCCCCTCAGCTGTTTTCAGTGCCATTTCTTCCATCTGCATTATTTAATAATCTACTGTAATTATAGGAACACCGCCGACGCTCTGAATCATTAACTATGACAGGATATACTTTAATTCGTTTGTTTATGCCGTTTGTCAAATGTTTGCCATAGTTTCAAATGCATGGTAATTGTTTTTTAAACATTCGTTATCGCTGCTTTCAGAAAAATGTGTAATCAAACAATCGAAAGCACAACTTGCAGTAATTTATTAATATTTGTACGATAATTAAATGTGCAAAGTCATGGGCATGTGGAATAAAATTTATGGTGTTTGTTTACAAATAGATAAGATGATTGTCGAACCGGTATGGTACAGATATTTATATTACATAACTGAAGTGAAAACACACGCGAGTATTACAAAATTACTCATCTAATTGAGGAAGCGAGTGAGCTGTGAATCGTTACGCTGCGTGCCCCCTTCTCAACGGATGTCAAATTAAATGATTCAAGGTCGAAATAGTTGAATCGCCCAATTCGCTATTTTACACAACAATCGCAACAGGCGTGTGCCCATATAATGGTTTCATTGTTTTTTTTTACTGCGTTGTTAGTTACCGCTGCATATTTTTGCATATCGAATTTCATTTATTTACATTTTAGTATCCTATAAACTAATAAACTAATAACTTTAAATATCCTATTAACTTTTATTGTTCGAATTCTAAACGCAATGCTTCAGGTTTATGAAAAATAAGTACTGAAAATAACTCACCACTGAGATGAAATGTAGAAAACTGAGCAGAACGACAAGTTGCTACAGGCTCGCAGGAATGCTGAATGTTCGAAACCGGCCGGCGTTGCCGGTTTTTATTCATTCACGCACGCGCAGAACACGCATCGTTCAAGGTTAATAAAATCAACACATGAACGAGTTTAAATGGAATTTCAAGTTAAATGCGCTGTGTTTGTATACAAAATATCTATGACAATGTATGCGTTATACTCAAGTTTCAAGTTAACCACAGGTCCTATCAGCTAGGAATTAAAAACAAATCAAGTAACATTACACAAAAGTGTAATCATACATATGCAACCACATCAGCGAAGTGAGTCGGCATTATTAGAATCAACACATTTTGATCCATATTGGTCTCGAATTATTTTCATGGTACATGATAAGAAAACGACATATGATCAATACAATCGATTATGCATTATTGTAACAAAAGAGTTATCGGAATAGTAATAAGAACTTGTACTTCATAAATGTTTTTATTATAAATTTATTATGTTATGCTTTTGTTCATAGTTTTTTCAATGTTTAGGGTTTAGGACGCACTTCAACCCACTTCTTAATTTGTGGAATGGCGAGTACAGTATCGCGCACCTTCGTCAAGTTGGCATACTTTGCCAACACTTCTCGGTTGGTCATAACAATCATGTGATCCGAGAGAGAAGTAAAGTAAATGTCAGCCCATGTTAGCTAAACAAAGTTAAATAAGTTAAAACAATTTCATTAATTATTTCTCAAGGTACATACTTTATTACACGCTAAATGGCCGCCATTTTCCTTTGCGATTTTATCAAGTCGCTCCAGGAAGTAGGGGATGGTCTCATTGAAAAGTTTATCTTTTCGTGATTCCTTAATAGCTGGATCAGCCTCATAGCTGTACATGGAAATATCTGCATTGTAAACATTTACAGGTCATTTTGATATTGAACATTTTCTAGCAGAGGCTTTCTACACTTACGCTGTCTTAAATCATTGATGGTTTCAACCATGCCTTCGATCTCAAGATCCTCTAGTTGATCTTTACCTACGAGTTTTACTAGTTTGGCGCAGTAGCGCGCCAGGGCAAGACTTTGATGGTATTGTTTGCCATTGATGGTGAGAACTGGCATCTTTCCGAAAGGCATTTCTAGAGAAATAATTAAAAATTTATAAAATATAAGTTGTGCATGAATTTTAATTTATCTCGGAATTTTACCTGGTTTACGATTTGGCCAATCATCACGTTCAACACGATCATCAACAAAGTCGATGTTTCCGTATTTCAACAACATGCGGATGGGCTCTGCCAACCCCGTGATGTTGAAGTAAGAAAGTTTGTATGATGCCATGGTTAATTCTTCAACAAAAATAGAAAACTCGATTTAAAAAACAGCTTTAAATTTGCTGATTGAAGTTATTTGCTGTGATTTTCATTCCATACTACATTACTATTAGAACTTCAGGCTGATGTTTACCTTGTCTTGTTTGCTAAACGGTCCCTATGGTTTCACACGTTTCAATCGTTTGTAAACAAGCGTTGTCACAACACGATATAGTAAATTGAAAAAAATGCCAAGTCAAACACTTGAAACCACCGACAAGTGGCGAAAGCACCAGTAAATAACGATCAGGTCGTTGAAATCCGAGCAATATTATGCAACTAAATACTGCCAGTCATTAAAAAGTTACTCATCAATTGAGCACTGTCATTAATTATCAGTCATGAATCCGGATTTAATTTCCTACAGCAAGGTCACATTATTTCAGATATAAAAACTAGGTTTGTGACGTGAAAAATGAAAAATGTTCGCTGACCCGTAATATGCTGACAATATTTTCTATAGCTTACTTTCGTCTATTTTTACTTATTGATTTTGTAATTTATTATTAATGCACCTCCACTACAATGTAAGCGAACTAAAGGTTCCCCAAGAACTTTGTAAACTTTTCCACTGCCATCTGTGGCATTTTTGTGTCATTTATCAATCACTTATCACTTATCAATAACTAATCAACAACTGGAAAATTTAGGGCATGATTTGACAAATAACAATTAATTCTAATACTAAATATACACCTACACATCAATAGTGAATACTTGTAAAATAAAATAATATAATTACCACGCAGTAGAAATGTTGTAAACTGAAAACACGAGCACCGCACAGCAAGAAGTAGATTATTGGATGTTTGAAACCGGCCGGCGTCACCTGTTTTTATTCATACCTGTATGCTGCCCACCTCTACAAATAATTATTTACTCAAGGTAGAGTCAAGGCTGGTAAAATTCTGGAATAGTAACATATAAATACGTGGCATTTTGTTGTGCATGACTTGCAATGTTGTATACAAAAAATCTGTATCAATGTAGGTGTTACAAGCAAGTTTCAAATTGTCTATGATTAAAAACCAATTAAATGACATTACTGTTTAGTCAAAACATGAATTAAGATATGAATATGCAACCTAATACACAATTACGTTAGTAGGTGTTTAACCACAAAGCTTGTCTCTGCTTTACTTGATGTTGTCACAAGTTTCTAATTGCTGTAAATATTCGAAATTCTGCAAATGTCAGTTGATAGGGTTTGATTCGTTGAATGCAATCATATAATACGCGTGTAACTGTATATGATAAGCATGGATTCCATTGTGAAACAAGAACTGTTGAAGTTATCACAGGCAAGTTTAATAATTTATGGGCAATGGAATATACTATAGAATGCATTTTTATTTGATAGGAATTTGATTGTTTGGGATTGCCAATTATTAATATTAAAGTAGATGTGCTACATCAAGTTATTTCTGGTGCTAGCAGACTTGTGCAAATGTACAGAACATCAATGACAAAAGCAAAAGATGCAAACATAGTGAACTCACAAATTCATAAAGAATTAAAAATTAAAGAGGTGAGATTTATATATTGTTTAAAACCTTAGTTTTTAATTTTATTGTTTTATTTTGATTAGAAAAAGATTGATGACTTAAAAGATCAAATTAATGACTTAGAAAATGATAATAAAAAACAAACTAACACTTTGGCAAAGCTACATTCAGAAATTACAACGTTGAAATCACAATTGCATGAAAACGATCGTGATTTGCAACGTGCACGGCTTTATAATAAAAACAAAGACGCTGAATGGTCTCACAAGATCACCCGGATGCAAATGGAAATTAACAAATTAAAAGGCGAGCCCATTGAAAACCACTTAGGTCATGATGAAAAAATGGTCAGGACCATTGCACAATACAAACTCAAAGAGGAGATTTACAAAGACACAATCCGGCAATTACAAGACAACAACGAAGAACTCCAGAGACAACTTTTAAACATCAGAGACGAACTTTGTAGCAATTTCAACATTGATTCCAAAACAGATGAAGGCTAAGCCATCTTGATATTCCAACAAAACTCAAAAACAAATGATTTGAAAAAATACTTGTTGCCTTGTTTATCAAATTAATTAATCAATTCGATTTTTCGCTGTCATTTTCACGTTATAAAACATAGCAAGAGCGAAAGTGGTTCGAAATGTCCCTCTTTTCCTCCGCGTTGAGAGCCGCACGCCGCGGCCCACAAATATTCCGCACTTTGGCTCCGAGATGTTACGTCACCAAGATCACAATGGGCGACCCGGTGGAACACGCAACTGGAATAGAAAAGCGCGAGTTGTTAGCCAAAATGGCGGGTAACTGTGACCCTTTCGGATTGGAACTGTGCAAGGTAGGCACCGGCACGCAAGATGATCCCATACAGATCAAGTCCGCCTTCGATTCGCGCATCGTCGGTTGCATTTGCAACGAGGAAGCGGTCTACCCCAATTGGATGTGGTTGCACGAAAACGAGTGCAAACGCTGTGAATGTGGCCGATGGTTTACTTTAGTGCCAACCGAGCCGTTCTAAACTCCAAGACGAATTATTATGCAAACAATATGCAACTGTGATTTTATAAACATGATTTTCCATTTATTAACGAGACTTTTTCTGTTTTTTTATTTTTGTGTGTTGAAGAGTAGTTTGGTCGTTTCTTGCCCTTGTTTTTACCCATCGCGGAATTATAACCACTTATCCAGCGATTACGCTTATCTTCCCAATCCAATTGTTTGGCACCTAAATATTAAAAAAAAAGTAAATATCAAATTATATAATATGAATGAGAATGAAATACTTGCCTGCTTTATCAGTGTTTGCGAATTGTTGCGATGAACCAGGAGCAACTTTTGAATTGCCTTCATCTTCCAAAAGCGAAGCAAATTCATCGGCCGAAGCAAAGATGGAACCAGTATTTGTCTTTTTCTTCGCTTTGGCTGATTTTTTTACTCTTGGATGATTTTGTATCAAGCATAATATCATCTTCGTCGTCCTCATCGAGGAATAACTCTTCATCATCGTCACCGTCACTCAAATCGCCCAGTAGTTCACGATCCTCATCATTCATATCTAAATCATCTTCGTCGTCATCGCTAATATGACTTCCTTCATCACTTAGATCATCATTATCATCGTCGTCATCATCATCATCATCACTCCTCTTCATCGTCATCATCTCCATCGGATTTCTTTTTAGTTTTCTTCTCTTTATTTTTCATATTCTCACCCACTTCATTCATGTAATCAATATCATCCTCATCATCATCCTTGAATCCGGACATTTTACTCAACATATCTTCAAACTCTTCACTAGCCACCGATTCCAGATCGCTATCATCATCGTCGTTTTCCTTGATTTTGTTTCCTTGTACCTCTCTTGCATATAAGTGTACAGAAACAGTTCATCAACAGGGATATTCTTTTCATTTTGTGTAATATAATCATTAGAGAACACAGCCATTGAGCGGATTCCTTGTGGTTGATAATGTTTTCTTCGAGAATGTAGAAGTTGTTGAAGTGTCTTCATCGATTTTCTTTTGGTTTTGAAAACAAACCGCTCAAGGAAACGGATGAGTGTAAAATCTTTCAATGGATCGCCAGTGTAAATAATTTTCTTTCCATCAAGAATGTTTTCAGCAAAGAGACGCACCGATGGATGATAGTGATTTTTCAATTCCAACAGTTCAAAATATGCAGAGAAATTCGTATTAGCGTATAACGGGTTGCGTGCCAACGGATCATAAAAGTCTTTAGGTTTGCGCTCGACTTTAACTTCTACATTAGTTATAGGGTTTTGAACACGATGCATCCAACCAACAGTTGCCTCTTCAACTTTGTTACCACCCTCTTTGTTTCCTTCATCGTCGTTATCTTTAACATCAGTATACCTCTTCTTCTTCGTCATCGTCATCCTCATTCTCCTCTTTAACTTTAACGTTACCTTCTACCGACTTGATTTGTAACAAATTCAAGCCGGTTTTTTTCGATAACATTTGCGATATTAAAAATATAATACCGCACGCAAAATTAGGTTGAACATTCATAGCGATTTGCAATAATCGCTTGATGAAAGCAAGAATTCTTTCTGTTTTCTCATCTCGCGTCATTGCTTTATACACCAAATTTAACAAAACCGCTTGGTTAGTGCACGACGGTAACTTGGAATCTAATAATTTGCGATACAACGCGGAATAGAAGCGATCATTCACACTATCCGCACATTGTGATACTTGGAAGAGTAGACTAAGCGCATTTAGCGCAACATTGAAGTTAGCTACGTGCACAACCCGATACATTGTGTCAATATGCTCAGAAATCGTCCCTAACTCTAATTTAGCGTAAGGATATGCACGATTTACGCCAATAAGTAACACAGACATCATTCTACTATCAACATCACCTTCTTTGATGCACTTCTTAAAGAAAGAAAAATATACTTCTATCAGTTTACGCGCAACCTCGGGATTCTCGGCGCATAAATAAAACTGTGATATAAAACACAAGCTATAGTATTGTGCTTTGTGACCGATATTTGCGCGGAATAACAACTTTTCGATTTCTCTCAGAACCACTCCCTGCATGTTTGCATGTTTCTTGAGAACTTGTGTCAAGCAATACATTGCTTTGGACGCTACTTTCTGTGAGGGATCACCGAGCTTATTCACCACATGTGATAATAAATTCTTTTCCTGTTCTGGATTTCCCGAGAGTAAATTACTCATTGCCGCAACGGCTTTCTCCTTGTTGCTGTCGACGGTGTCGTGACTTGCGGCATTTAGGGCTTGTACAAAGGTATTGTAGGCTTCTTTAAGTTGATCCTCAAAGTACCAATGATAGAGGTATTTGCGACGTGTGATGGCGTTTCCGGATGAAAGTTCGCTTAGCTGGGATAATGGACGATCGTAAAACGAGCGCAGTTTTTCATTTGGTCGTAGTAAATCAGACAGGAACAATTCAGACAATGTTTCTACAGATTTAAATTTAAAAACACACCCTTAGTAATATTGATTATTAATTGAATTAATAAATTTTCTTACCAATAACAGCAACACATTCTTTCTTTTTGCCTACTTTTACCATGCCTATTGCATTCCTGATTGTTTCTAAATTGAACACAGGACTATCCTGTATGAGGATTGTGTAGGCAGCAATTTTGTCTGAGACTGTGCCTTTTGACATCACAGTTTTCATCCATCTGTAGTCAGTGTTAATCTTGGAATTTTCTGAAATGTAGCACAATAGATTTAAAAAAATTAAAACAATACCAAGGAATTTCCAAACTTACTTATATTATAATTGGCAATTTCTGAATCCAAGATCTTCTTGGCTTCCTCCTTGAGTTCAATAAGCACTTGGTCAGATACCTTTTCAAACTTTTTGGGATCTTCAGAGATCTGAATATGACAGAATAATTGAGTGAAGTTTTAAATATTATGAAATAACTTATACCTGTTCAAACCATTTCGGTTTTTCATAGAATTCGTTGTAATCGCCATCGTTGGCAAACTCACGTTGATTGCTTTTCATTTTTGAACATTTGCTAAACAAAACACGACGCACGAGGATAAACTAAGGTTAGGACTGGTATCATATTTTTTATAGTTTCATGATTCACCACGACAGCGCGGTTGACGCGTGCTTTTCATAGCGCATATTTAAAATGGAAATGTTTTATATTTAATTTTATATTTTTCTTCTATGACTCCTTGCTTCATATGCAAAAAACTATTAAAAAATTTGGTAAACTATGGTTTTCTATGCAATGCAATTTACTAATTTCTATATATTTGATCTGCGTAAAATTACACTTTCTGGAATGCCGGACGCCAAGGTCGAGGCGGCAACAAAAGTGTCGGTAACCTCGGCAACGCGCAACACGCACACATCATCCGGCATTCGACGGATAAGCACGGCAAGTACGGCGTCCATCCGTCCGATCCGTCCGTTCACATCGCACACGCGACACGCACCCAAACAACACACGACTCTCCTGAAACATGGCGTGCGGGCGTGCGACCCTTAGCGCCCTGCTGCTCATCACCTGTGCCTTCGTCTGCGTGCGTGCCGGCAAACAAGTCGTCGATTTGAACGAGGATAACTGGCGACTAATGCTACAGAATGAGTGGATGGTCGAATTGTAAGTACACTCGCCTGCGTGTCAATCATGCAAGCGTGACTTTTCGGCCCTTTTTCCAGTTACGCCCCATGGTGTCCCGCATGTAAGGGCCTCGAAAGTATCTGGCGTGACTTTGCCACCTGGTCCGATGATATTGGCATCTCCGTAGCCAAGGTAGACGTCACCACATCACCGGGTCTTAGCGGCAGATTTATGGTTACTGCACTGCCAACAATCTTCCAGTATGGTTTTTAAGTATATTTATCAAATATTAAAATAACTAAATGTTTCTTTGTTGTTTATAGTGTACTTAATGGCGAATTCCGTCAGTACAAAGGCTCTCGCGACAAGGACGCTTTTATTTCCTTTGTGGAAGAGAAGAAATGGAAGAGTGTGGAGCCTGTTCCAAGCTGGCAATCACCAAACTCAGTCCAGATGGGTATTGTCTCAACATTCTTTAAGCTTTCACAGGTGTTGAGGCAAGTGCACAACATGCTCATGGAAGAGTATGGTCTGCCATCTTGGGGATCCTATCTTATTTTCTCAATCGCGACAATTTTCATTGGTGCAATACTTGGCCTGGTAAGTTAGTCTTGCACTAAATGATTTCAAGTTGTAAAAATATTATGTTTTACAGATTCTAGTATGTGTGATTGACTTGATCTACCCGCAAAAGTACCCAGCCAAAGTTGATCTTAAAAAATCAGCAGGTGGTGAGGCACATAAAGATAAAGACAGTGATGTTGAACTGGTAAGTTTTAAATTTCTCTGTGTTTAATTAAACATCATAGTAAAATGATTTTTCTTGTGTTTTAGTCCGATGAGGATATCAAGGACGATTTGGTAGACGATGCTAGTCAATCCGAAGGCGACGGCGAAGTTAAATCAAGTTCAGATGACAACGCCGCCGCAGAGAAGAGCAGTCCCGGTGTGAAGAAGCGCAAGTCCAGGAAGGAATAACACTCACTCGACGCGTTTTGCGAGCGACTTGGACATTCCACTGTTTACCGAAGCTCAACCGTTTCACGAATACTACCTAACACAAGAAAATTCAAAACCGAAGCGCAGACTTATTTTTACAAATGTAGACTTTGCAAACACATTTGCAATTCTTGTTGAAACACGCACAATGACCATGCGCATAGTGTAATTATTTATTGTTTATATTGTATTATCACAATTTCGCAACCGGCTACGATCTATTTTTGGGTGCCTCGTCACATTTTTTACTAAAACCTTATTGTAGAAATTTTCTAAAAATACTAATAACGCGACGAAAGGCGGCGACATATTGTGATTAATTTGTAAGAAAGTGTTGGCGTTCTTTCAGACGTCGGCGTCGTTGATTTTAAGGCTCTTAATTCTACGAATGTAAACATTTTTAAAACACTTCGTTTTGCGTCTCATTCCCCCTTCCCAGAACGTTGCAACCATAGACATAATATTGTATTAGATTGACCATTGAACACACATCCGCGATGCTGCTGTTGACAAGAGTTTAAAGCGCAAAATATTTATGAAGTCTGCGACATAGTTTTAATATTTTCGGGTGCAGTGGGCGCTTATTTGTGTGACACACATTCGAAAAATATTTCGTACCTACGAGGTTATGCAACCCAACGTTCATTCTGCGCGTTTTATCTGTTATTTTTATTTTATTTTTGACCAGCAGAGAATTTTGACTGACAATTAAAAAGCACAGCCACACGTGATAAAAACGTGCTTGCAAATTGGCGCGGCGTGGCGTTGGCCACTTTCGCAATCGCAAATATTGTGTGTTCACACAAATATTTCGGCCATTACTCATTCTGTCGCTTATCTTTTCACGGTATACTCGACTGCTTCGACTAAAAACTAAATCCAAACAACTTTCATAAGTAATACTCAATTTCTAGTGCTGAAATTGTATTACACGCTAAAAATACTTGATTTTAAGATGTTCTTCTGCTGTTAAACCAGCTCATTAGCAAAATATTTATGACTCTCGTCCTCAATAATTATTAGCATCGAAATTACGAATACATTACCTCGCTTATCGACGATGAGGTCGCGCGTCGCGCGAAAGGATCAAACAAACACTCAATCGGCGAAGTGATCAACAACAACAATGCAAAACAATGTACTGCTTTTCAATCCGATGCATGTAATCCAAAACAATAATAACACTCAACAACGATTGCAGCGCATTTCCTAGACGGGCTGGACGTAAACAGCGCACAACGGACTTTCCGGCAGCGCCACATAACAGCGCGATGGCAATCGAAGCGAATAATCCTAGAGTTCATCGTCTGTGTCATGGCAATACGATGTTATCAGCCGAGACAAGTCCCGAACTTTCGGAAGGACGACTTCGATTGTTTTCTGTAAATAAGCACACATTGGAAATGAGCACACATTTTTGTTTGCTTCGGTCTAACAGCCTTGATAATGTTTTTGTCCTTTTTTCATTTGATAAAGCGCTTCAAAGATACACGCGAAGCGCACGCATCACGCACAATTTCCTTCCGCGCATGCGAGTTTTTAGCGCAAAAACGGTTTTATTTGCTGGTCACTTGCGACCTTTGATCGGATTCATCACGAAGTGTGTGCAATTTTGATAACAGCGTAGACGATATTTTTTACGGAAAAATCCTGTCTGCTCGCCATGTCCGCATATAGCATTCGCAATAAGCAAAGTACATTTTTTGTAGCACGTGCTGACGGAACCGAAAGAGACATACCAGTTTTAATTAATTAGAATCATTGCTTTTCGCGTGTGACTGGTCATTTGTTAACGAGCGTTGCTAGTTGCCCCCAGTGGGTTATGTAAGCGGCTAAATCTCGGTTTTAATTGTGTGGTATTTAAAAGATTAAGCGCGCTAATTACGGCGCCGAGCTTTGTGCCCCCAATGTTATTCGCGATTTGTTTATGCGCACGCGACGGAATGATGCAAGAATTTGAGGTATTCCAAAACGACCAGTAAGACTTACGGCTAGCGTCGGCAAAAATGCCACACAGTGACTAACCAAATGGAAACAACACTTATTCGAACCCCTTCTTAATTAGTAATCAATTATTTACACTTTGATAGCGCTTAATAAGCCGTGAGTCACACCGAAAACAAAATGGCGACATCCGTTAAGTTATGCAACCAAACACACAACGTATTTCGAATGTGCTTGAAACTTCCGGATTATTGCAACAAAAGTCAAGGTTTAGAATTTCGTCGATACGTAATCGATCAGTTATTACATCGTTCAATCAAAACTGTCGCAATGTGTACTTCCTTGGACCGATGAAAGAGAGAAAATATGTCGCTAAGCAAATGTGGGGGCGCGCTCGTGGACTTTATGCCGCGGCGCCACGGGCCGCCGCATATAAATATAAATTCGGAATGGCTTCCGTCTCTATCTTTAGTATCGGCACAGTTTCGCGCTCGGCTCGATCGATCAACGTTTGCTCTCGTGCGCTCGCAAACCAACCAACCGTCAACATTCAAAAAAAGCGTGTACAATAATAATAATACTATATCGTCGCCATATTGGATCAACCCTCGCCCAATGAGCACACCATCGATTTTGCTCGTGTTGTGTGTGCCAGTTGCCGATCAAGTTTGGAGTTTAACCAATTATTTCGAATTCAGCAATAGACTAATCAGGTATGCAAAATGTCGCCACCATGTTGCCATGCGGATTTCAAACATCTCGTTCACTTTCTCATAATTTCAAACTAGTTAAAAACAGTATAAGCCCGCATGGAGTAAACGCTGATATTTCGTAATCATCTCCCAGTGAGCATCAAATAGTTCAAATCAATCGCGCCCAATTAATTAAAATCGCGCTCGCGCGGCGCGGGCGCTTTTTTCGCCGAGTGCATTAACATTTCTGACCCATTTTCAAAATGCAGGCGCGCGCGCTATTTGTGCTGATGATGAATCGATAGCGAATTTATTCGATTCGCCTTAATTAGCACGCTAATTAACCACATCTCCCGAAGCGCGAAACGAGCGCGCGCTGCAGCGATCAATAACAATATTATTTATAAACCGATTACATTCGTTTATTTGCACTGAATAACTGTGGTAAACAAAATTCCAGGCGATGGCAGCGTCAAAGTCCTCAGCGGCTGTCTACTGCTGCCGCTACTGTCTGATAGCTCTTGTGCTTGCTTCGCTGTTGGCGAACGTCAACGCTCGCCCTCGCGAAGGATCACCACAGAATTCCCTCAAGGAGAAGTACTGCGCATTGAACGTGAGTCATTCAAACTTCCATGTGATACAGTTTGGTAAATTTTGGTGATTGTGATTCTAGGAAGAACAGCAGGAAACTTGCCAAAAATGCGCAAAATTTACCAAATCAAAATACGTCTACCCGATGTGCTGCAACGAAGAAGATGGCGTCTACAAATGGTGCACGGAATACGTGAACTACGGCCAAGAGACGTAACGCACTCGCAACCCTCTCGCGCAGAAGGTTCTTAGACTTTTACTCTCTTTCATTTTTTGTACTTGTGAATTAATGTTAAAAACGTATTTATTTATTTATACTGGACTGACTAACATGACTGTCGACGCGCAAAATTGTGATATGTGATATAATATGTCCGACTCTACTTAACTGTAAAACATAATCCACACACCAAAAAAAGCCATGTGGATACTTTTGTGATATTTGACCCAGACGTATTTAGAATAGTGTATACGTAGCAAATATGATAAATTCGTATGAAATTTGCAAATTTAATATATATAAAGAGAAAATTATCATACCGTTTTATTTCGTGCTCAGTTCATGCCGAAGTTTCTCGAAGTACGCCATGTCGGAAGCATTTACCGAAGGTTTCGTACTCTTAATAGCATCGTCAAAATCTTTAAAAGTGACGATAACATCATTCTGCGTTAGATTTTCACTGCCTGCAAGTTTTCCTTTTTCGATTTTTCGTATTAATCGACTGGCGGCTGACATCCAAGCACTGGAACAAATCCCGTAGAAATCTGCGCCTGTAATATTTGCAGGGCACGTCTTGACGACTTTTTCCAAACTCAATTTGTCAGAAAACTTAAATTTGCGAGTCAAGGCACGAAGAACGCCGAGTTTTGCAGATGCATCAGTGCAGGGCCCAACGTATAACAGTTTATCAAACCTGCCGGGACGTAATAAAGCCGGATCAATTAAATCCGGGCGATTTGTAGCCCCAATAACAAATATAGTTGCGTTTTGATTAAGTCCATCCATCTCTGATAAAAGTTGTGAAACGACGCGGTCCATTACACCGCCGGAATCACCGGAAATACCACGATTCGGAGCTAGGGAATCCAGTTCATCAAAAAATATGATGCATGGTGCGGCGGAACGCGCCTTTTCAAAAACTGGAAAAGTTTATTGAAAGAAACTGAAGTAACAGACGTAGATAACTCACCTTCCCGGACGTTTTGTTCTGATTGTCCTACGTACATGTTCAATAACTCAGGTCCTTTGACAGAAAGAAAACATAAACCGCATTCGGTGGCAACTGCCTTGGCCATGAGAGTTTTTCCAGTGCCCGGCGGACCATATAATAAAATACCCGAACGTTTTAAACCAGTTTTCAGCAGTTCTGGATGTTTAAGCGGTAAATTTATCGTTTTGATAATTTCCTGTTTAACGTCCTCCAAGCCACCCACATCGGACCATTGCACTTTCGGAACTTTAGGCGCTCCCAAACTTTCAGTATAACTATTTTGCATTATGTCTACAAATCAATTTTTATTACTATATTTTGCGAATTAGTTTGAAATGACGCACCTAACGCGGATTCAAAATCGTTTGCAGTAACAACTTGGCGGCCATTTGCAAAATGAACTAACGCCTTCAAATCTTCAAACAAAAAACCGTGAGTTTTTGCAGCAATGTCTTTGACATAATCAGAGGTTAAACTTTCATTGGCAAGAATCCAGCTAAGAAGTAATTCGCGTTCTTCTTGACTAGGAGCGTTTATTTTGATAGTTTCCAAAACATGCGCCCCAAGTCAGATGGTAATTCTTTTGAATTACTCACACAAATTAAAACAATTGGTTGTTCAGTTGACGAAAATAGAAGATCAAGTTCGGTTTTGAAATGATTTATGATGCGTGGATCGTGTTGTCCTTCGTTGTTTTTACAAAACTCCTATAAACAAGTTTGAATTAAAAGAAATGAGAATAAAAATAGAGCTGCCGAAACCAGGGATCGAACCAGGGACCTTTAGATCTTCAGTCTAACGCTCTCCCAACTGAGCTATTTCGGCCGATATTAACCGATGACACATGAAGTGTGTTTGATAAGAAAGTTTAAATAAAAATATCTTACCTCAAAATTATTTATAACCAGCATGCAAGGCGCGCAAACTTTTGCGCGAAACATGGCGTTCTTAATTTTAATTTCAGTCTGTGCGTACGCCTGCGCACTGAGGTCGACATTGCTAACACGGCACATCTTCATCCCCAACTTTTGACTCAAACTGGATAAAATCTGGGCTTTGCCGCTGCCTTTTGGGCCCGTTATTAAAAACATTGGATTTAACTTTAATTTCACTAGAAGTAGTTAATACATTGAATTGTACGGCAAAAAATCGCTTTTATGTTTCTTACCATTGTTTAAAAAAGGTTTTGAAGCAATTTCAAGCTTGTTTAAGTACGTTTCAAGCCCATACGGGCATGAATTAATCACAAGTTGGTCATGTTTACTATCACACAAGTTCTGTCTCATAATATTGACTGTTTGAGGCAAACTTGATTGAATTTCAGCTGCCAATGTTAAAGTAGTTCCTCCAACTACACAAAAATATCCATCAATGCAATCACTAACACCTTCAATACTAATCTGCTGACACTTGAAGTACATTTCATCTACTTCATTGCAAGTTAAATTTGTATAGTGGAATTCAGCAGCATGCTGCTTTAAACTTATAGGAATCAAATCGTTTTTGTAGACAAGTTTCGGATTTCTAAAGTAACTCTTCAATATAATGTCAGTGACCGAATTTGCTAGTACTTGTTGGCAGGTTACACCAGCCAAATGCACTTCTGCAGCAGTTTTAATGATATTTATATTTACTGGCAACACCTGGCATGTTTTCATGGTATCATCACAGCCAATATTCTTCAAATTGTGTTTCAATGTGTAACTCACCAGGATTTCATTAGAATTTAATTCTAATGCCTCTGTGGGTACAACCTGCACCAGTCTAGTTAGATTACCAAATTTTAATTGAGCAAACTCAGCTGAATTTAAAATGGCACTGTGATACATTAAATTAATTAGAATACAGTTGTTAGCATCCACTAAATGATTATTAGATGTTGTGTGGACAATAAAATTTGTCGGCACGGCATGTAACTTGAAGTGTGTCTTTGCTTTTCTAAGTTTTATGTACTTTAGTAGCATGAAAATTGGGTAAATGTACTTTGGCCACTTTGGATAGTGAATGCCAGATATGTACAAGATTATTCTGCAGTGCAGAATTAGAAACTGCCGCAGTTTGGTACCCTTCAGTTGTTCGTACATTATGCCCGGCACAACACATTAATTATTATAATTATGCACAATCACTATCACTATTTTCAAGCGTGCAAAAGCGCACATTAAAGAACTCAATGTTACGAAATTTTTAAGGTTATGTGATAATTTGACCTTCAAGCTTGCTATAACTTTTTAAAATACAAACCCGAATTCATTTAAAAGCACATTTCAATTACGTGCACTTACATTCCTTATATTCGTATTGTAAAGATTGTTTAAAACAATTTTATTGCATGTGTTATTTGAATCTTGTAAATTGGGTTGCCTACAAATGTGCAATTATATAAAATATTAAAAATTAATTGAACACAATCCAGTAAAAAATTAGTTTGTTTCCACAAGCACTTGAATGAATCAATTCTTTGTTAAGGCACTAAAATTCAGTCTATAGAAACGAATTAGTTTAAGAACGCAGCGAAAATTGTCGTTGTCTCGAGCTTGCGGGTGATTTTTGACTTCTGCTTGACTTTTGTGACTGCTGCGACTTAATGGAAGCGTTACTATTGGTGGCAGAAAGGCGACGCATCTTTTCTGCTTTCTTTTGTCGATCGACCGCGATAAACGACATTTGATCTTGTATTGACGTGGCAAAAAATACATTATGAAACGAATAACAAGCTGCAGAAACCTAGAAAACATCAATAAATAAAAAATCAGTTTGAATAGTTACAGAATCTTCAAACCTGTTGTATTAATCTGCGGTGCAATTCAACATCAGCTTCTTCAATGTGATCTAACGTGTCATGATGCAATTGCATGGCGCATAAGACAGCTTCATTGATAGTTTGAATCAAATACTCAACCTTTTCGGTCTTCATCAAACGTCTAACAAGAAATCCCTTCGCAGCCGCCGTTATTATATTCGCAGCTTGTTCACGTGTTAGTTTCTGCTTCCCTTTTGAAATCGTCGATTGTTCATCAGCACTATAATAAACAGTATCTCCAACTTGTGTTGTGTTCTGGGGTGTGGAATACTGTTCCGGATTCAAATGTATATCATCAAAAGTATCACACGAGTCGTAATTATCGTGATTCATTTGTTGTCGCTCCAAAATCTCAAGAATCTGACGCGAGTAAGCAGATGGAATCTTTTTTAAAATCGAATTCCAATCCGAGTGCGCCTCACTCGATACATTCTCAGACCTTTGCGACATTTGATCATAATCACAGCGCGCATTATTCGCCGGCACATTATTGGCGATAAACTCTTGTAAACCTTCGGATATCGGAAGATGACTTTCACAATCCGATAAATTCTTTAACTCTGTTTCAGTTCTAGACGTATCAAAACAATCTATGGAAGTATTTAGTTCAGATTGCAATGTGCAATCAGGCTTCTTTAAATAATCTGATCTTGGTGTTGCATCAAGGGAAGTAATTTCTAAATCATTTTTGATTAAAGTTGCTTCACTTACATCTTCTGCATTATTTCTTCGTTTGAAAAATTCCACCAGAGCAGGACTTGGCGCGTCCAGTGTATACGAATTACTGCGAATTAATTTAGGTACAGCTGGCGGTGGTGTTAAATTACCTTCGAATAAAAATACTGGTGACTTGCATTCATCAGACACAACAACTTTAAATGCATCATTAACATATTGTGTGCATTGCACGTTGAAACTAAGTTTCCGTTTTGCATGAATCGGCGATGCTTCTTTTGTTGATACTTCGTTGGTGTTGGTTACATTAATTATATTAACATCATCTGTGATTTCAAATGTGTCTGAGATACATGTCTGTATTTCTTGATTGACTAGTAGTTCATCATTGATTTCAGTTGTGCATGTGTTGTACAACTCTGAAACGTATTGCTTAAGTTCACGTTCGCGTTGAAGGCGTTTCTCGACCTTTATCGCCTCGCGCTTCAAACGCCGCAGTTCCTTGCGCTTTTCCGGTGTAATCTGTTTAATGAAACATCGATTTTTGCGTGCTTTGGTAAAACGCATGCATCTACTTACCAATGGCGGTAAAATGGGCACTCCGTTGATTTTAATACACGACACGAATTTAGTCTTCTGCGATTGCTTTGCGTTTACAAGAGGTAATTGCGTCATTTTAGGAATCCGCGTTGGATTTGTTTGCGCGATTTGATTTTGATTTTGAACATTGTTGATATCAGTTGTTTGTGGTTGTGTTTGCAGCGGGCGCCCGATATTTGACTTTGATGTCATTTTCTGTCAAAGTGAACAATGAGTTAGTTCACTTGCGTTTATTTATCTCTGAATTGTTTTTTGTGTTGTTATTGTTGTTCGCATCTTTTATTAGTAAAGAGAATGTTGATAACACTGCATAGAGATCATAACAAAACTGCGCAAAACTTGAAGATCTGCAGTTTCAAGCGTCACTCATGCCATCTACTGGTCCCTTTTCTTGGCGGCATTAACCAACAAATAAACGGTAATCATACAGCACGTGTTTCCCGCATCGTTCTTTTCTCCGTTGGCCTTAGAGTGGTTTGTTACCATTAAGATTACTGACTAGTCCGTCATTGTTTTTAAGGTGTACACAAAATATTTTCGATTCGGTAATCATGGCGAAAGATAAAAAAACCAAACTGGGTCTTGTTGTTGCGCGCAAATCAATGTCACTCGTTAAAAAGCCGAAGAAAAGTAAGGGCGCGAATTCAAATTTGCAAAGTCCCAACGTGTCACAAGATATGATACCACAAACGGTCGAAGATAACGGCGAGAATGCTGAGCTTCAAAGAAACTTTGTTGAAAAAGCGGTTGCACGTTGCTTGACAGAATCTGAAACCCAAACTGATAGTAAGGAACTTTTTGATGATGATAAAGTCATTTTCTTGCAAATCCAAGCTGGTAAAATTCCAAAATGTCCGACCAAAACTTTGAACATCAAACTGCAGCACAGTATCCTGCCCAAACAACATGATATTTTGCTTATATCACCAGATCTGGATCCAAAAACTGATCATGAAAAGACTATTGAGCATTACAGAGAAATTCTGGATAAGCATGACATCACTGATGTCAAAGATATCATTCCATTGCATCAGTTGAGGCAGGAATACACTGAGTATGAAATGCAGAATAGGTTGATGGGATTGTATGATCTTATTATAGCAGATGGATCAGTGGATGGCTATGTGAGGAAACTGCTTGGAAGCACAATGGGAAAGAAGAACAAACCCTACAGTACCATCAAATTGAATGCAAGCAATCTTCCCAAATTGTTTGATGAAGTTCTCACCCAAAGCTTCTTGAAAATACAAAGTGCAGGTGATAACTTTTCAATGAAGATTGGGCACACTGGCATGGAGGAAGAGCAGTTGGTGGATAATATTATGGCTGTTGCTGAGGGACTCAAGCAGAAGTTTCCTGGTGGCTTTGCTTACATAAAAGGTCTTTTCTTGAAAACAGCTAAAGGAAAATCAGTGCAGTTCTATCTTTCTAGTGGTAAGATTTTTGTTATTATTTTGTATTTGTCACCATGACATTTTTTTATTATTATTTTTCAGCAAATATCAGTTCTATGAAAACTCCTGTAGTCAAAACAGAAACCCCCAAGGTTTCAGTTAAGGACGAGTTGTCTACTGAAATGGACGCCAAGGTAACTGTGAAGGCAAGCGGAGAAGTCGTAGTGCACAAAAGGGAGAACGTCGATGAGGAATTAGCCGCGGCAGCTTGGGATAATAAACCGACTCGCGCCCGGAAGGAACCCGAACGCCTGCAGTTTGATCGCACACCCAAACGTAAATATTTGAAGAAATCCACCGACAAAGAGAATATCGGCGATGATGATAAGAAAAAAAATGGCGCTTCGAAAAAGAAGAAAGCTGAGGCGCCGTTAAAGGAGGCCCTTGAGAATAAAAAAGGTAAAAAGAAGGCAGTAAAAGCCGAACCGCAGGAGGATGTCACAAAGGCTGGCAAGCCAAAGCAAGGAAAGAAGCCTAATAATGCAGTAACAGTAAAAAAAGAACCAAATTCAAAACCCGCTTCGAAAAAAACATTAAAAAAAGTCAATTCACAAGAGGCAGGTTCCTCTGAGGAAAAACCTGCGATTGTCACGGAAAATAAGCCGAAAGTACCGAAGAAGCGTAAAAATAACGCAGGTGAAACCGGTGATGCAGTGCCACCGAAAAAGGCTTCGCCAACGCAAAAAGTAGCAGCAGTTAAAAATGCAAAAAAAGCGCCCAACAAAAAGCAAAAACCTACTGCAGCCAAAACTTCAGAAAATACCCCAATTCTTGTTTAGACTATTAGAATGATATAAATGTGTAAAACCAATTCTATGTAAAACATTTGATTAATAAATATTTTGAAATTTAATTCTGACTGCGCGCGACATCTGTCGTTGTATTTTGTTTGCGGCTAACCTTACAAAATAAGCGTATCTCGACGCTGAAAGTAACGCACGTGGTGTTTAGTTGTAACCTGTAATTTATGTCGTGTACATTGCATTTTGTCCCAACTTTAGTGTTTTGACTCCATCCTCTTTAAATAATAAAATAAAAGGTACGTTCTGGTATTAACCAGTGTTATTTCCAAAACAATTCATAACCTTAAGTTCGCACGTGCGTTTTTAATGATAATTTAATTTTACTCACTGTATTTGTATTTTCAGAATGTCGTTTCGTGGTAGAGGCGGCGGCGGAGGTCGTGGTTTTGGCGGAGGACGCGGAGGTGGTCGAGGCGGTGGCGGACGCGGTTTTGGTGGAGGACGCGGCGGCGGCGGCAGAAATTTTGACCAGGGACCGCCAGAACGCGTCGTTGAATTAGGTTTCTTTGACTATCCTTGTCAGGATGAATTGATCTGCAAAGTGGAGCTTGAAGATGTACCCTTCTTCAATGCGCCGATTTATCTAGAAAATAAAGAACAAGTTGGCAAAATTGACGAAATCTTTGGCAATCTCAGAGATTATTCAGTATCAATTAGATTGGGTGATGACATGAAAGCTGCTAGTTTTAAAAAGAATCAAAAGGTAATATTTTGCTTATTATATTTATATATGTAATGTTTATTTATTTTTCTCTTCTTTAGTTGTATATTGACCCTGCAAAACTTTTACCTTTGCAACGATTCTTACCGAAACCGCCAGGCAGTGTACAAAAACGTGGAGGACGAGGTGCAGGTGGTAGAGGAGGCGGCGGTGGTCGCGGCCGAGGAGGATTCGGTGGTCGTGGCGGCGGAGGTGGATTTGGAGGCCGTGGAGGAGGAGGAGGTGGTTTTGGACGCGGTGGTGGTGGCCGAGGCGGTGGAGGAGGATTCGGTGGTCGTGGAGGTGGCGGCGGTGGATTCGGCCGAGGAGGTGGAGGTGGACGAGGCGGCGGTGGAGGATTCGGACGAAACAGCAGTGGAGGTGGTGGTGGCGGCAATAGATGGTAATGCACATCTAGGATTAGTTTTTTAAATTACAATATTCCATTATTTTTTTATGGAAACAATAATTGATTGTATTCTTTACTTACAAAAATATAATATTACCTGTATAATATCGCTAGTCAGTGTCATCAAACCGAATGTGTTTCCCAAGTTCACGCTCAGCTCGTTTCAGCAGTTTGTCTCTGCCACGTTGTTTCTTTACGTCTTTATTTAGGCGCGCGTCACGACTAGTTTTAATTTTCTCCCAGTACTGCTTTTCTTCCTCACCTGTGAGTACAATCCCTTGGCCTTTAGGGTTTGACGCACAAAACTCATTCGCGTTTTCCGGCGCAACAAAACGCAGATAAACTTCATCAGAAGCGAGTGTTACTGGCACTTCTACATACTGAATGGTATTGTTTAAACTCTTCAGTTCATTCTAATAAAACAATAAATTAATTTATAAAATTTATGAGAGCATTGAAATTGATTGATAGTGTTTACCTTAATTATCTTTGCTTCAGCCCACGGTTCAGTTAATTTTAGCTTGACAATAATCCCAGGTGTATAATCGTGCATTCCATCATTTTCTGTTTTTACTTTTCCTACTTTTACTTCACTGTGTGTCTTCACATGCTGATTTTGAATATCTAAATAATTATTTTGATGCAAACGATGTTTGTACAGATGCTGTTTGAGTTGTTTCATCTTTTTTTCGTTGCATTTCCCAATAACGATTGCGGAGTTTCTTCCATTCTAATCTAAACATAATTAAATTAATGTTTTAATGAATCTCAGTATAACTATAAACTTATTTTCTTACTTAGTTAATACTTGAAGCCCATGTTCTTTGATTAATGCTTTCCTCTTGGTGCTCCTCTTCTTCTGTTTACTATCCTCTTCCTCCTGTGTTTCTGCTTTTATTTTTTTATTCTTGTCACCCTCCACATCCCCTTCTTCATCATCCACATGTTTTCTCTTCTTTTCATTTGGTTCACTCTCATTTTCTTCCTCCAACTTAACATCACCACCTTCTTCATAAGTTTTATTACTGCACAATTCTTCTGAATTAATTTGTGATGATATCCTTCCCCCAATGCTCTCAAAATATTCTAATGCAGTCTTTACTTGCTCTACATTTTCATACTCAATGAAAGCAAAACCTTTGGCAAATTTATTATGTGAATACTTTGGAATGGATACATATTCAACTTTGCCAAATTCAGAAAACACATTTGTTAGCCATTCATGTGTTGTATCAGGTTGTATGGTTTGCACATAAATAATGCATTCATCTTCATTGGTTTTTATCTTGTGTGGTGTGGTTCTTTTGACTTTGGTGCAATCTTCATTTAGTTCAAGTAAATCAGACTTTTTTAATGCTTTAGCAATCTCTTCCACTGATGATGTCAGCTTAGAGATTTTGTTAAATGTTAAAAATACATCTAGATCAACATCTGAAAAGTTTGTTATTAGTTATATTGGTTTATCATAAATTGTAGTAAGTAACTTACATTCAGATTCTTGTAGTCTGTTGGCCAAAAAGCGGTCTTTTGATAGGTTAGAGTCGCTGAAGTAAAAGTGCATTTGTTTCAGGATTGTGTTAAGTGTTTGTTTGCGGCGCACACGACCCTTCTTTTGCAATTCATCAGCAATCTGCTCAGTTTCCATTATAAAACGATAAGCCGTAACGAACTTTAACGTAAAATCAGCAAAGTTATGCTTGAATATACCCCTTTGAATATGCAACGCGCATTACACTAGTTGAGTGTTTAATCAGAGTGCTACCTACAGCAGTCTCTTACAACTACAATACAACCTCTAACGCCATCTGTAGAATGAATATTATTCATAACCGGCAATCACATGTGAATGAACGTCACTGGGATCACTCTAATTACCGATTTTTTTCTTAGATTTGAGAAGCTTAAAAATTGGCATTTGGTACGTACTGAAAATTGTTAAATTAGGCCTTTGTATGTCGAATGCAGTCCAGAAAGATTGCATAATTCAATCGCTACGCCACCCTTCCTTCTCACTTACAAAATGGCGCACTCACCTCAACAACACACTGCCTTTTCGTAGAATACGTCCTTTAAATGTAGTTTTGTTTGCGTTCATTTCATGTGACTATAATGATAGAAATCCTGTTAGCCGTAGCGAGCATAATCACTTCTCTGGCGTTTGTTCTGTTTCTTATACTTCTCGGTATGCAGCCTTTTTCTTATTAAAAATATCTTAGGTTATGCACCCGCATTGTGTTTACTTATGTGCGTATTTTCTTTTCAGGTTGGTACATCGTCTGGAAGCTGTTTCTGTCGCGGTTCAAGTTTGTTAGAGAGTTGCTCGGGGGCGGTTCAACCGAGGAGCAGCAAGAGCGCGAGAAAGATACAAGAAGTAGACCCAAAAGAAGCAGAAGAGACTAGACCAATACATCAAGATGAATATTCGCTGTGCAAAACCCGAAGATCTCATGAACATGCAACATTGCAACTTGCTATGTTTACCAGAAAACTATCAGATGAAATACTACTTTTATCATGGCTTGAGCTGGCCACAGTTGAGCTATGTAGCTGAAGATGATAAGGGCAATATTGTGGGCTATGTACTTGCAAAAATGGAGGAGGACAATGAAGAGATGAAACACGGGCATATCACATCACTCGCTGTCAAACGCTCACATCGTCGTCTCGGCCTGGCGCAGAAACTGATGGATCAAGCTTCAGAAGCAATGGTAGAATGCTTTGACGCTAAATATGTATCGCTACACGTGCGTAAAAGCAATCGAGCCGCGCTGAATCTCTATAAGAATTCACTCAAATTCGAAACCGTGGAGATCGAACCGAAGTATTACGCTGACGGTGAAGATGCATACTCCATGAAGCGAGATTTGTCCGAATTCAATCGAAAAACACCGAAGAATAACGCAAAAGACGGGAAAAACGAAGAGTAATGCAATGTACTGACCTTTTTTTGTATAAATATAATGTTTAAATGCTACTGTGGCAATCATTTGTTTTTGGATAGTTTTCTTATTATGTACGTGATATTATTCAACGAATCAATCAATATAAGTTTTTTGTATGGATGAACTTAGAGGTTGTGTTTAACTCTAAGCTAGGCAACTCAACAAACACAAATAGTGTTGCTAATTTCATTAGAACTTGTAAGGCTTAGATTAATTTCTTTATAATAATTAAACATTCTAAAAATACACAGTTGGCTAATTACTTTCATCTCCCTTAGTGATAATCATTACTACAACCTAAGATCAATCAATTTGAAAAATAAGTGATAAGTTTGTAGGAATATTTTTTGAAAGCAAGAACATTGACGTCATTAAATCGCTCATCTCGCATTGAAATTGACGCAAACAAGATAAACTTATTCTGTTATTAACTATTTCATGGGAGAATCTGCTGGTGGGCTATTGTTGCTACCCGATCTCTTTCAGTGATTGACTGACTGAGAAATAAGTGCCTATTTCATCATTTATGTTTTTATCTATAGTTTTAAATATTTGTTGTTTGTTATATTTTTGCAATTACTTACATGCAAACAACTTTCTGATAAAAGTGAAGGTTCCGCAAATTGTTTAATTTAATTTTTATAACTTTCCATTGCAACTTCATATTTTATCATCATAATATATAAATACTTATATTATTCTATAATTTTTTCTCATTATTGACCATGTAAATGTGCCATTCTTTATTGTGTTTGTATTTTATGCACTGTTTTCATAACTGTACGTTATAAATGAAAGCATTTCATATAAAAGTGTGTAATTGACATAAAAAGCAGTGATTTCAGGTTGTAACCCTGAATATGAACTCGTTCAATGACTCAAAACACCAATGTTGACGACATTTTCAACAAAAATACATTTTTTGCATGTTTACACAATAAAACAATTAATTACCAACTCATCTATTACAAAAGATTAATTTTATCCACAAAATAAATGATTTTTGTTACAGGTGGCCGGAAAAACTATAATGGCAGCGATCATGTAAATAAATTCTATTTATAAAAACATTGGAGGTCATATCAGCGTGTTTTATATCGCAGCTGGTGCTTATTCAATCGTTTAACCCGTATCCATCGAAAATAATCCAAAATCTTGCGTGGTTAACATAACGAATCACAAAAAATATATAGTACAACTTCTCGTGACCTCCATTTGATATTTAATTACCGATTTGTATATGGATTCACCAAAATACAATGATGATGTGTTTGTATTATATTCCAGACAAAAAACTCTTTTTTGTTATATCAATCAATCAATCAATCAGTGAAGATAATTGGTAAAACCGGATTTGATATAACGTTGAAGTGGTTTATAAACTCCGAAATTATTATCTAATCTAATTATAATTACAATAAGGCACGAGTGGAAATAATCTAAGTCGCAATTCAATGCATGCGGCATGCGGCACGCGACATGCGCATGATATTTTGCCGAGATGATTTTTATTATTTTTAGTCCAACACGAGTTATTTAAATAATTGCTCATTTATATAATGTACTTCCCGCGATTGGAAAAGATCGGAGGCGTGTGTAACTACGATGTTAGTAAATCTATTTTAATACAAGAAAAATACATAGAAAGATGAAAAGAATGAAGTAATCTTTTTTGGATAAATGCCCACTATAAGAAATCATAATATTGCAAAGCCAAAAATGCATTAGGAAATAGCAATTCGAGTAATATATCTTAGTAGAATTTGAACTGCAGTAGGATAATGTCATTATCTCAAAATAAATGAGTGGTTACTTTGGATGCACTTCACGTTTTGAAGTTCAAGTTCAATTGCGATTTTCGTTTCAAGTTTTCTTTAAATATTACATTCTACGGTTGTAATTTATATTTATTTTCCTAAAGCATCTGAAAGAAACTCTAAAGTAGTAGTTTTTTGATGGCGTGTGCCAAGAAGGAAGGTTGGCTCCGAAACATTGTTTGTACTCTTGAAATCGCTGCCAAATTATCGAAAAAATGAGTTTCTTGGCTCATATTTGTTTGATTAGTCATTGTAAACAACTGACATTGCATTGGCTCTCATTACACTTGCTGCTGATTACTACTTTTAAAGTTAATATTGGGTTTTAAGTGACTTCTTGACACAGGAATCTAACAAATTCTGGTGTTAACTAGTTCGGAAACGCATATTAACTGGTTATGAATGTTATCAGTTAATCAATACAGTTAATAAGCAATCAATTTGTTAGCTCCTGTTATAGTCCAAGTATTAAACCGACAATAACTGGTTTCATTTCAGTTTAAAACGAAGAAGTTATGGTAAAGTGAATTAGATTTGGAGCAAATTGCATTATGGCCTCAAAAATATTGAGTAACGGTGACAATTTTGCTATGTAGATTTATAGTACATTGATTTAATAGTTACTTATCTCTGAAAGAAAAAAAGTGTTTTCATACCAAAATCATAAACATGCATTTTAAATAAGTACGCGATCTTAAATTATGTTTTAACGAAGGAGACATGACAAAGAATTTTGTTTGTTAGCAATTTTAGTGCAACATGTCAAAAAATATGTTTCAGGAATTATGAAAACATGTTTTGTTAAAAAAAAAAAACAATATTGTTAATGGTTTGGTATATATTTTACACCCAACCTTACTTTCTCTCAAGCTAAGAATATAACTATATTATTTATGTTTATATTTACGCTGTATTAAAATATATAAATAATAACAATAATTGCTGCCAATTTAAAGGCAACACCTGAGATGCGCAATTAAACAATAAACATAATTTGAAACACAAGTCTTCTGTCCTCTTTAGACAGCAAATTGTTCCGTGATCAGTCCCAGACGTGTTTAAAAATAACTCAGGCTGTGTTTATTAGTTCGCAAATGTTTAAAATAGCGCACGATTACAGTCACTCGCGAAACACGCGTTGGACGCGTGCAAACTTTGCGGAACTTGTCTCCAATTTACCAAAAAACTCCGATAATCATAAACACAAAATTTAAATGCAAAAAGATTAGCACCACTAACGAAGCAACTGCGTCAATGGTATTTTATTTGGGCAGAGTGCAAAATAGATTCATATCTGGGGAGCTGTCAAAGTTGTTTGTTATAAAACCATTGACGGTTTGGATTATCAATGAATTCTTGACAGATGCACGCAAAACCAATTAATAATTTATTAATATTTACGATTGGTTTAAAAAACTGATCATAACTACGCAAGTAGATGGAGAATATAATTATTTTCACTATTATAATAATTCTCTATACAAAAGTGATTGAATTATTTCAATTATTAATTCATATCTCAAACACCAATCAAGATATTTTAATTTTGTAATTAAATATTTGTTTAGAATTAAATTCAACATCTAATTAGGCATAAAAAAATTAATATTATCTGTTTATATGATGAATTACTAGCAAATTTATGTCAAATTTATAAAATTTTATAATGTTTAATTTTAGTTGCAGATAACTTTTTGTGTAACAATCCAATCTCAAAAATTCTTTCTTGGTACGATAGAAAAATTAATACTAAATTGTGTTTCGAAAAAAAACTCTTAAAATCACGATAGATTTGAAGTTATTACGAAATAACTATAATTTAACACAGTAAAATTAATGTTTTAAGTGCAGATGACAATAAAACCACGATTTTATAAACATACCTACATACATTATACTTTGAACCATAAACAACACACAACACAAAATACCTATGTTTATATTCTGCGTTTTTCAGAAGTGAGTAACACGATTTGTTTGTTTTAATTGACACTTTGCATGCAGCCTGTTTATATTTATTCTAATTACGCTATGCGATTTTAATCGTGGAATGCATTCAAATGTTGCCACTCGTATTCGATTGCAAATGACACCGAGGTAGAAAGTCCACCAATGACTAAACTAATCACCAGCAAAAAAGTAGCTACCTACTGACATATCTGTGAACCTGAGGAGATAAAACTTTCGTTAGACGGTTAGTGCATGCGGTATGCGCGTGATACCTAATGTACCGACGCAATAAATACGTGTGATGATAACGTAGGTTTTGATATGAAAGCAGCAAGGCATTTACGTTACTATAATATTTACAAACAAATCGCGTTGTGCTATCGTGTGCTGTCGGCGCCTCGTGCAGCAAATTCATTGAATTACGAACTGTAATCGCAAATTACTCGAAATCAAAGTACAAATACCTATAATCTACGTAAATCATATAATTTTACTGACAATGTGGACTATAATATCTTTAAAATTAACTTTTTTTTTTAATTATCACAAAGATTATAAATAAAAACTAAAATATTAATTGAATTTGAGAATATTTTAACGTTTTTTGCATTTTAAACTTGCAGTTTATAAAAAAAATTACCTCAAAATCATGTAATGTGTCAAGAAAATGTGTTCTATGAAAAATGTATTCAAACCTCATTTTCTCCTAAAATTATAACGAAAATATGAAAAAACTAAAATATTGATGAGATTTGAAAGCATATTAATGTATTTTGCGCTATAAACCGGCAGTTTATTAAATATTTTCCCCTAAATTTATAATTTGTGTTTTATTATTCTATTTTTATCAAAATGTCATTGAAAACTTCAAGGCTTTCACAAAAATTACCATTTTTATCAATTACGCCTAGTCTAGTCTATTTGAAGTACCCGATTTTGTAAGTCTCTAGATTAAAGGACTTTGTATAGTATTATTACACGCATGTAGGTACGTTGATTATATCATTGCGTGAGATTCAAGGCAATGCCAGTGCAGAAAGAAGGTCATTTCACACTTCCGACCTGTCCAACGACTTTCCAGAGAGAACCAAAACAGAAATCTTGGATGCACACAATCGTTGAATTTGAAATGTATTCATTTGACCTCAAAATTAAATTATTTATAACTAAGCACGTGCTAAACGCGTGCAAAACACAAAGTATGCAACAAAAAAACATAAAAAGGAAAATAAAAAACCCGCGTGAAATTAACTCAATTAAACTAAACGTAAAACCCAGTAAATAACATGCACAAATAAGAGACAAAAATATACTGCATGTTTCGCAATTGGTGTGCGTCTACGTAGCCAGACATAGGCGCCGCTTGGGAGCGGTGGGTCCAATCGTGAGGGCGGGTTCGTCGGCCCCACGCCCGCATCCCGCACGTCCCGCGACGCTTTTATTCCCGCTCGAGTCGCGTCCGCCCGCCATTCCACGTGC